ATTATCAAGGGGTTTAAATATTAATAAAAAGCAATAAATATTATTGCAGAAAAAGAAAGTATCAAGTATCCACTATTTCTAAGTGATTCGGAGCCCCTTTCTACAAAGGGCCCCGGGACATGACACTTTTGATAAATAAATATACAAGAATAGTGTTAGTATGAAAAGCAATAAATGTGATCACAGATAAGTAGTATTTAGAATAAGTAAATAAAAGACATAGTTAATAGTTAATACTTGTATATTAACGCACAAGAATTACTTAGGACTTAGGATTAAAACACTATGAAGTGAAATATACATACAATGCTAATATAGCAAACAGTGAAAATTGACAGAATATACGCTAATATAGTGTGAAATTAAAAATGATATCGAAATAAATTAACAATGTTTGTCAAGTTTTGTAAAAAAATATATTCTAGAACGCGTTGAATTAAAATAAGAAAACGATGCTGTCGTATATTTAACGTTATGACGTATTTGTGATATTTCAATATGATAAAGGTTGTTATATAGTGATAGTGAATATTCTCATGACCATTACCATAATCTTATTCATTTTTTGAAAGATGAATTTGTACACGGCCATGTAACACATGAGATGCTTTTAATAAAAAAAAATGATAAAAAAACTTTACGTTTGTGTTTGCTCTGCTCATCTCTCTTGAGACATATTGCACCATACAAATGAAGAGTGGGTGTATCTATTTATATTTACACGTCAAGCCGATGCACTGAAGTTACATAAAATCGACCTTGACGTTTACTGATAAGTGCGCCTATCTCCGTGTGTTACACACGTATGTGTTATACATTTTCTGGCCTTGTGGGAGGGAAAGCATGATTATTTGTGTCCCCATAGACTAGTCTAGGCGATGGCGATAGCATGAAACTATTTCTTATAACGAAATAGAAAAATGACACTGTCAGCAGCAAAGTACAACTCTATCAGAGATGGCTGCTTGTAACTTTTGTATTGGTAGTGCGCATGAGCAACATCAATACACATCATCAGGGAGGTATACACTAAGTTGAGGCAACTCTTATTGAAACTTGCCTACTTTCATACAACAGACACAGCAGTAAACATGATTAGGATGTAATGCCATTGTTTTAGTCTGTTGCATTCATTCGGAACCCATGTGCAACGCGTCTTACAGAGCTTTTGGAGAGGCCCCGAATGAAGTAACATGGTTTGGGAAAATCGTTCAGGCGTGAGGGAAACACTTGTTATTTATTTCTCTGTCGTTTAATCCACATAACACAATCAAATGCGTTGTTTTATAGATGTGGTACTATAATTTGCAAGACAATACATATCGTATACCTCTTATTTGTATTAGGGTTGTCAAACCGGTCAACTGTTGGTAACCGGTTACTCCAAGTAACTGATTAATCGGTTAATTTGGTAATCAAACAATAAACAACAACAAACACATTATATGTTTAGCATTTTTATTATTTCAACATATTTTATTACCAATATTTATTAGCAATGAGATAGGGCACAAGTTGAACAACATATACGAAACCCTTGTTTAGCAAATGTTCTATCTAAAACGTATTTACACAACAACACTACACGTATATATTAATTAGCCTGATAGTTTACTCGCGTATTTCAAGATAAACGCAGGGAATAGTTACATGTATCGTAAGTATATTTCATGGATAACAAATGTTGCACTTCGTCCTTCCGTCCTTCCGCCGGAGAAGTTTGTCCGGGACATATCTTCTATATTGTTTCACCTGCAGTAACCAGATTTGGTGTAAATGGACAACTTGGGATGGCAGAGTGCAAGAATTAGGTCACTGTGACCTACTAGTATGACTTGACTGTTGACCTTCACTTTTGACAATGTCTGTCCGGGGCATATCTTCTTTACTATTTCACCTCGAGTATCCAGATTTAGTGTACAATGACATGTTGGGATGACGGCGTGCAGAGTGCAAGGATTAGGCCACTATGATCTATGACTCGACCTTTGACATTCGCTTTTGAAATGTTTGTCCGGGGCATATATTCTATACTATTTCATCTCGAGTATCCAGATTAAGTGTACAAGAACATCGCGGGATGGCGGAGAACAAGAAGTATGTATTAGGATACTTTCCTGACAGTAGAGACATCCTCACCTAATGTACTGTTTGTTAAATATAGAAATCATTAACGGTGGGGGACTATGAATTGTCATGTAATACTTTGCCTTGATTATACATAAAGTACTAATACAACAAACTATATAAGTGTAAGTTTGGTCAAACTTATAGTTGTGTAACTCTGAAAGGATTTTAGACAAGTTTACACAATAGCACAAATGGTTATGGGGTGGGGATAACAGTTAATGCCATTTCCCTAAATGCTGAACGTTAAGCAGGGAATAACAACTACCATTTTTAAGGGTTTTGGTATGTCCCGGCCTGGGGACAGAACTCATTGCCTTCCTCACCTTGGCGAACGTTCAACATTAAGGCCAAAAGCCTACTACGATACATGCGGTGGGTAACATCAAGTGTATTCTTATCCCGATCCCCCATCTACAGGGGTGTTGACATGAATAATCAACATTAAGGCCAAAAGCCTACTACGATACATGCGGTGGGTAACATCAGGTGTATTCTTATCCCGATCCCCCATCTACATGGGTGTTGACATGAATAATCGAGGGGACACAAAGAATCGTTTTTCCTTACAACAAGGCCAACAGTAAAGGTGATCAGGCCTACCCGTTAATGTTGTTGTCTGCTTCAGTCACTCGGATCTTGCCTATTTTTCTAGAGAGGCTCCAAATAAGGAAAATATGACGGAGAAACTCGAGCGCGAAAGACGAAAAAGATCATCCGATTTTTATTTACCTATGATGTTGCTACTATGATCCAATCAGACTCGCTTTTACATATATGAGTGGAAGAATTGTATTTCACTAGGGTTAACACCGTCGTGAAATATTACTCCCTGCAATAAACACTCATAGTATTTGAAATGTTCAGTGAACAGATGTGGGTTGTATTGTATATGCATTATAGCTAAATTTGCAAAAGCATGTAATTTAATAGAAGTTATCCGTTAAGCGCTGTTAAAATTTGTTTTTGAACAATGGCCACCTTCCAAAGACGTTGCATTAATTCGCGAAAGAACAGACCTGCTGTATCCCACTTTCTAATCGTAAGAGGCGACTATTGTGCCTCCTTCAGAATTGGGGTTGGTTTCATACAAATAATAGACATGTTGTATGTCACTCATGTGTATCGTAAGAGGCGACTAATGTGGTGACCCTGCAGAATCGGGTTTTTTCTTCTATGTCTTCTAACAAGACGACATGAAAGAGACCAAAATTGATCTATTGCCACATTGCAACACACGGGATCTTTTTCGTTTCAAATTTTTCCTGCCTTCTTCCTTTTCGATCTACTTTCTCTTTCAAGAGGTATCTCTCTAAGCACCCATATGACACTGGCTGTTGTATCTCCCTAAACACCCATATGCCACCGGCTGTTGTATCTCCCTAAGCACCCATATGACACTGGCTGTTGTATCTCCCTTAGCATCCATATGACACTGGCTGTTGTATCTCCTTAAGCACCCATATGACACTGGCTGTTGTATCCCCCTAAGCAACCATATGACACTGGCTGTTGTATCTCCCTAAGCACCCATATGACACTGGCTGTTGTATCCCCCTAAGCAACCATATGTCACTGGCTGTTGTATCTCCCTAAACACCCATATGCCACCGGCTGTTGTATCTCCCTAAGCACCTATATGACACTGGCTGTTGTATCTACCCAAGCACCCATATGGCACTGGCTGCTGTATCTCCCTAAACACCAATATGACACTGGCTGTTGTATCTACCTAAGCACCCATATGACACTGGCAGTTGTATCTACCTAAGCACCCATATGGCGCTGGCTGCTGTATCTCCCTAAACACCAATATGACACTGGCTGTTGTATCTCATTAAGCACCCATATGACACTGGCTGCTGTATCTCCCCAAGCACCCATATGACACTGGCTGATGTATCTCCCTAAACACCCATATGCCACCGGCTGTTGTATCTCCCTAAGCACCCATATGACACTGGCTGTTGTATCTACCTAAGCACCCAAATGGCACTGGCTGCTGTATCTCCCTAAACACCCATATGACACTGGCTGTTGTATCTCCCTAAGCACCCATATGGCACTGGCTGCTGTATCTCCCTTAGCACCCACATGACACTGGCTGGTGTATGTCCCTTAGCACCCATATGACGCTGGCTGTTGTATCTCCCTAAGCAGACATATGCCACTGGCTGTTGTATCTCCCTAAGCACCTATATGACACTGGCTGTTGTGTCTCCCTAAGCACCCATATGCCACTGGCTGTTGTATCTCCCCAGGCACCCATATGACACTGTCTGTTGTATCTCCCTAAGCAACCACATGACACTGGCTGTTGGATCTCCCTTAGCACCCATATGACACTGGCTGTTGTATCTCCTTAAGCAGACATATGACACTGGCTGTTGTATCTCCCTAAGCACCCACATGACACTGGCTGTTGTATCTCCCTTAGCACCCATATGACACTGGCTGTTGTATCTCCTTAAGCACACATATGACACTGGCTGTTGTATCTCCCTAAGCACCCATATGACGCTGGCTGTTGTTTCTCCCTAAGCACCCATATGACACTGGCTGTTGTATCTCCCTAAGCACCCATATGACACTGGCTCTTGTATCTCCCTAAGCACCCATATGACACTGGCTGTTGTATCTCCCTCAGCGGCCATATGACACTGGCTGTTGTATCTCCCTAAGCACCCATATGACACTGGCTGTTGTATCTCCCTAAGCACCCATGACACTGGCTGTTGTATCTCCCTAAGCACCCATATGACACTGACTGTTGCGAGGACGTTAAATCCCACAACAACAAACAGACATTGCATCTGTCTAAAACATTTCTCCAAAGTCTTTTTGTTTGTTCGAATAATTCCTTTTCACTTTAGTTGTTTCAGATGTGAAAGATGGAATTCGAAGATCAACTTTCGCCTGCTCAGGTCTCTTTAAAGGAGGAATTGGCCCTTATATTCCCTAATTTAAGTGCTGACATTCTGTATGACACAGTTCTGGACCACAGTAACAAGAATGACTTAGACCAGTGTGTTACACATATATTGGACCACTGTGACGACTCACGAATACCGGCTGATGTGACAATTACGAAATTTCTTACATTGGACTCTTCTGAAAGTAAGTATAATAAACGATGTTATGAGGGCTCACAATTTTTAACATAAGTCTATGACATATCGATAGTAAATGGTATATAAACAAAAAATGTAAACATTTCAATGTATTCTTAATGTATTGAAACCTCTTTCCCTCTGCAAGTCCGTGTTCTATTTTCCATTTTAACTCAGAGTGTTATCATCTTTCATACTTGTTATCTATCACCGCCTTAGAGTCTGCAGTTGTGCAGGCCGTTGGTGAAAGATAGAAAGTTACATTGTCAGTCTTCATGTTAAGTCTCTGAATATGGACGAGAAAGTGTTTTAATAAACTCAGCGAATCCACGTGAATATTTTATCAACAACGAATACACTTTGAGCTTATTCTTTCTATGGGAGAGTACACCAATGTCATAGGAGATAGAGAAATGCACGGTCATACTGGGATACAAACCCGGGACCATCCGAGCTCTAGACTGATGTTCTATCAATTGAGCTACCTGGTCGCCGGCGATAGACCCAGTCCAGTTCTGCTACATTGTTCCTTCCTTTTCTAAGTCTTCACCCCGAAGCCAACGCTATTTACAAACCGTTTACATTTTGTATCCCCTTTGCCAAGCATTCACCCAGTACTTGAAGCTAGAGTTGACAAGCTCGCGAATTTTGAATAAGGAGAAAGAGAAATGCAAGGCCAGAATGGGATTCAAATTCCGGACCCTCCAAACTCTAGACAGACGCTCAACCATTTGAGCTACCGAGTCCAGTTTCAATTCACCAGTATAGAAAACTGAAACTTTTTTTTGCTTAACTTGAATTGATATTGACGTTTAGCTGAAAAACGTACGTTTGTTTGAATCAAAACGTTACACACAACCAATATAGTGTCAAATGTGCTTTAACATTTCAGGACCAACAGATCCCTTTATCAAGCTACCAACAAACTTGTGCCTATATAAGTCTTAACACTAAAAATCATTCTTATAGTTTACAAAACAGTAATGAAAAACTTTCCTTATTACCAAAAGATTGCACTGACGATATGCTACACCAGGCTTGTTCTATGGATGCAATGTTTGTACAAAGTCCAGGCTGTGAACAGCGCCCAGCGCTCGTCTTTGATGGTAAGTAGCGCACGAGATGTGTGTCAAGTAACTTACAGTGGCTCTCAGCCGGTTTCTTTAACTATGTTTGAGAAAACAAAGTCATTGTCTTGCTATTTTCCTTAGCTTTCTTGTCTTGATTTCCTAAATGTTAAAGCTAACCGTTGACGTTGAAACGGTAAAGTGACTTTGCTTTTAATATTTAATATACAAATTAATCATACCATAACATATATTGAAAATATGACTGTAGGCCAAATTGTTGTCAACTTTAATCATGAAAATTAAAAGAAGGGCATTCCACTCCCTAAGTATCATTCTCACAAAGTATTGATATAGAATAACAATGAATTGCAAATTTTTAACATTAACTTTGGTATGCAACATAGTTCCGTCCAAACAGATCCCACGATGGGTTTTAGCGATTGTGATGCATGCAATCATTATATTTTGTTTAAATGCATATATGTACATGACAAGAAAGAAAATTGTATTTCATCATCCCTGTGGTTTTGTTCGGTTTATGATGAACTTAAACTGTTTTCTCAAATGGTGGAACAGCAATGTTTGCGGGAACAATGTTATTTTACATGGTAACAGGTTCTGGCATGTGACATGAGTAAATCGAAAACTATTCGTGAATTCTGTCATAATTTTAATTTGTCATCTCGCCATGATTGGTCCCCGATTCCTCCAACAGCACGGTCGAAAGTTTTTGATTGAAAAACATTCACGTGCTAGAGTTCTTGCTGTGTATTTTTTTCTGTTCATCTATATATTTGGTAATTTCCGTTTTTAATAGTATGGTACATGTATCATTTACTCTGTTTATTTCGTTTTTTTACAGAGTCCTTCAGAGGCGACAACAGACAGGCTTTACGAATTGTATTGGTCGGTAAAACCGGATCTGGGAAAAGCTCCACAGGTAATACCATTCTAGATGAAGAGGCTTTCAAGACTTGTTTTTCAGCTTCATCAGTGACGGAGATATGTCAAGAAGTTAAAGCTATCAGGTTTGGACAAGGGATCCATTTAATCGATACTCCGGGAGTGTTTGATACACGTAAACCAAACACGCAAGTCCTGCAGGAAATTGCTAGATGTATCAGCATGTCATTACCGGGACCTCACGTATTTCTTCTTGTTCTTAAGGCAGGGAGGTTTACTCCCGAGGAGAACGACACTGTCAAACATTTTGCTGACCTGTTTGGAGAAGATGTCTTCAAGTATATGATCTTAGTGTTTACAGGAAGAGATGCGTTAGAAAAAAGACAGTCGTTTGAGGAGTTCCTGCAGACAATACCACCTACACTTGATGAAATTAGAGAAAAATGCAACAAACGTTGTATTGCTATCGACAATAGCCCAGACAATAAGTCTCGCGCCATCGATGCCGGGAAGTTGATGCAACAAATCAATGACCTTGTTGAGAAACGTAACGGCAAATGCTACACAAATGAGATGTATAAGGCAGCCGAGAAAAAATGTCTTGAAAGGGAAGAAGAAATAAGGCGTCAGAAAGACCAGGAAAAGAAGAAAGAAAAAGAACAATTGATAAAACAGCTGAACCAGGATTTTCAAAAGGACTTTGACCGCTTAAAAGCTGAACAGAATTCACTGCAGCGAAAAATACGCGACTGCACTACAGAGAAGGAAATGTTGGAAGAAAAGTTGCATGACAGCAGTTTGAAAGACGAAGAATTGGCAGTGTTGAAGGAAACATTAAGAAGCGTCGAAACAGAAGCTGAGCAGTACAAAGAACAAGCTGAAGATGCCACACATCAGCGGCAGGTGTGCTTACAAAACCGTGACCGACGTATTACTCAACAATCAAAGGACTTGGATCGTAAATACGACAACGAAATGAACTTAAGTATCGGAATGTCAAAATCAGCCGCGGTATTTACAATGATCAAAGGTGCTGCGCAACTGGGATGGGGCATTTGGAATTTTTGTCAGTGGCTTGAATAGAACTGACAATAAGTAGATCGCATACAATCGTCTTTGAAACGAATACATAATTTTATCTTTAACTTGGTCGAGACAGCTTAAGCTTTGCCTGAAGAAGATCGTGATGTTATTAAGTACTTAATAACTCGTTTTGAATATAGTTTCCGCTTCCATCGTTGTTAACATTATATTTGTTTTGTCTTATTTATCAGGAATTATGATAGTAAATGCAATAACTAATTGAGATTTACAAGTCATACCTCATTAAATTATGCCCACCGTTTTCCTTCCAAACTACATTATCTAGGTCTTAAGAGAATCGTATTTAAAACAATTATTAGGAATACCAAGAAGGGAAGCATCTTGTTTAAAAAGAAAACAACCATTTTCAGTTTATAACGCTAGAGGAACATGTTTAAACTTTCATTTTGTTCATTGATGTAGATGTTTTCATATTTAGTCTTAATAAAGGTTTCCTCACTTTTCCCGTGACGAATTTTAAGGAACCGTAAGACAATTTTTTTGACAACGAAAATCAATAGAACACCGTTCCAAAAAGAAATTTCTTGCTTTTTGAGGCGCTACGTTCTGTAGAAAAATCAACTTGAACTGTCTTTCCTTTAAGGAAAACCACACAGTTCACAGTCCGGTGGCGTACTGGGGCCTGTAACTGAAAGCATACTTAAGGACTAAGTTAACCTTAAGATTACCTTAACGGTTTATTGTGTAAATGAAAACAAGTTTAAGTTTGGCTTAAGAGAACAACTGTTCATCTGTAAAGTGTAGCGGAACCTCTGTCTCTTGCCGTTCTCTTAGTGGCAAATTAAGATGGGGTGTAATCGAAAGCCTTCTTACTTCGTCAAGGTATTCTTACGTCCAAAATCAGCACTTCCAGGTGTAACTGAAACCATTCTTATTTCAGAAATGTTGTTTCTTTACTTAGGTTGGTCATACCCTCTCTTATCACTCTCTTAGTATATAAATTACACTGGGAAAATGGCTGATATGCTCCTCCATCTTCGTCAACATAACCAAAACATTTCAAGACGTTTGTTGCGTGATAGAAACAATCCACTAGATTACTTCAGTGATGAAGCCATAATCTCTGTAATAATATGGAAAATGAACTATCAAGACCAACCAACAGAAACCAGGCTCTTCCTGTTACATTGCAGGTGATGATATGTCTAAGGTGTTATGCCAGCGGTAGCTATATGTCGGTCATCGGTGATGCTCATGGAGTTAGCAAAATGGCTGTATCGCGCGCAGTGAAAACAATATCGTCTTCACTTGCACGACAAAGTCAACGACATACAGAGTTTCCTATGGATGCCCAGCGCCAAGGTCAGTTGAAAAGATTTTTTTTGCAATAAGGGGATTTCAAAATGTCCTAGGAGCAGCTGATGGGTCATTCTGCCCAATATCTACCCCGACGGAAGATGAACATTTGTACGTGTCCCGAAAAGGCTTTCATGCCTTGAACATTCAAGGAGTATGTGATGCCAACAATTTATTTTTGAATGTTGTTACTAAGTGGCCTGGTGCAACACATGATGGTCATATATGGAACAATTGTGGTCTAAGTGCTGCCTTTAAAGCGGGCACACTTGCAGGTGGTTGGCTACTTGGGGACAGTTGTTATGGACTTAAACCGTGGTTTCTGACTCCTAAATAGAATCCTCAAACACGCGGAGACAGGCGCTACCCGCTGTGTCATTGAACGTACATGCGGAATATGGAAAATGAGATTTAGGTGTCTTCATAAAGGTCTTGTGTTTGCGCCTAAGAAAGCATGCAATGTCCTCCATTTCAGATAGTTCATCATTTTCCGGAGGGGGTCCACCACCCGTTTGCTTACTTTCTCGAGTAAACTTTGCTCGTTTTCCTTTCACAATAGAACTCCAATCATGCCATTTTTAGATCACCTGGTCCGAAGGTCCGTGGTGAGCTGATGCCATACCGCAGCGTCCGTCGTCCGTCCGTCAACTTTTCCTTTAAAATGCTACTAGTCCTGAACGGCTAAGAAGATTTTGACTAAATTTGGTCTGAAGCATCCTTAGGTCAAGAAGACTCAATTTTGTATAAACGGTGGGTGTGGCCCCCCCCCTGGGGGCAGAGGGGCGGGGCCAAACAAAGGATATAGATAGAAGTAAAACCTTTAAAATCCTTCTTCTACCGTAGAAATTAAGGGATTTCCTTATAATTTTGTCTGTAGCATCCTTGGGCCAAGGGGACACAATTTTGTATAAATGGTGTGTGTGGACCCCTGGAGGCAGAGGGGCAGGGCCAAATAAGGGATATAGAGGAATAGCTTTAATATCATTTTTTCTTCCGTTAGGATGTAGGTTTTTGCCCAAATTTGAATAGTAGCATCCTATGCGGAAGGGAAATCAATTTTGTGTAAATGGTGTGTTTGACCCCCTGGGGCTTGATGAGAGGTGGGGCCCCATAGAGGTAATTTAGCAAAATCTTGAAAATTCTTCTTCTGTAGGTACAATAGAATTTTGTCCATATTCGGTCTAAAACATCATTGGGTAAAGGCGACCTGATTTTGTATCAAAGGTGGGTCTGACTCCTCGCAGCAGTATTTCCAATTCTTCAATTGTATAGTTTGGCTTTCTTTTGCGGTTTGCTTTTGGCATACATATAGCTGCCATGATGATAATTCTCACTACAAAACCCCTTAGATTTCTGCCTAGCCGTCGTTTTGTTTTAACAGGTGTCAAACATACATTTACCATCACATAACAAAAGACCTTGTATAACAAACGCAGCGAGGACACTGATCAAATAACCAGCAAAATGGAAAGAGGTGAAGTGAATTTTCCGGGAAATATCCCGCTCTTATCGCCATTCGTACGAACGGTTTTAAGAGAGGTTAACGACTAGAAGAGCCACTTACGAACGGATTTCAGTTACACTCTTACCAGAAACTTTGTGTCACCTTAAACCATTCCTTGAATATATAGTTAAGAACTATGTTTCAGTTACAGGCCCCTGGTCATTTACCCCTTATTTTTAAAGACTACTAATCCAAAATGACTGGATATATTTAGACCAAAGGGACCTAAGATTTTATAATGTTAGTGTTGCTAATTGTTCGACCCATGCAGGCTGTAGTGTTCGAACTAAACGTTAGACCCATAGACATTCACCAGGAAATAGTGTTAGTCTATGGGAATCATTTACTTCATAAACGAAGTTTTCTCTTAAATTATTTGTTGTATGATTTTAATGAAATGATGAAAATGTAGTGATTGAAAAGGTCCTCTGTGAATTTGCTTGTTTTTCTTTATTATTGCACATATTTTCCATATTTCATGTTATATATTTCAAGTTGATGAACAGGTCTGGTCTAACAAAAGTTCAGTAAGTCTATAAGAAATCTTTATCTCTATCTATATACCGCGTGTAAATCATAAATTCTAAGAGTGTGAAAATAAATCAGACAGAATAATGTTGGGGATTGAAAATAGAATAGACCTGCTTTTATCGACTGCATGATTTATAAAAGGCGACTAATGTGAAACCCCTGTCCGTATTTGGGAGTTTTCCTTTTAACCCTCTAAAATTATTCTTTAGCATCACTACGACAAGGAGATTCAGTTTTATACAAATAAGTCTATTACCGCTCACAGGTTGAGCACTGGAACCCGATAATTAAAATGGGAATGGGTGTTTAATATATGCAAATCTATTTCATAAGTACTGTATCGAAGACGGATGACTCTTTCCTCTCAATTCCAAGGAAAAGCGTTAAGGTATAACAAAGGACATAGCGATAAAAAAACCACTTAAAACAATTGCTAATTTAATGCGAACGAAACAATATCTTCCTTGTTAAGTAGGCAGTGTGTTCCCATATATCTTTGTTTGGGATTTAACGTCCTCGCGAAATCTTAGGTCATTTAAAGAACAGTGCCCAGGGAGACGCCACCAAAAATGAAAGATCAGGAAAGATAGAGAAGACATTGCATACATCACAAGTGTTACAATGGGGACTGCAGATTAATTTAGGTTTCCTCAATGTCTCAAAATAAAATAAAAAAACAGCGGAGCCTCTTCATTGGTCGCCTCCACCGATAACACGTAGTGTGATACAACATTTATTTCCTTCTATGAACCTGTAGGTGTAGCATTACTTAGCTTTCATGATTGACTGTTGTACCCATGAAGGATGTCGCCCACCTGTTTGAAGGTTGTTTCTGTTCATTAAGGAAAAATCAAAAGCACAAAAAATCAAAAGCACATCAAATGTTTTTTCTTATGATTTTGAATATTTGTTATAATTTATCTTTTCATTATACCGGAGTCAATATTTGTTGATCAAAATTCGATATAAAACTCTTTATGTACACAACAATGAACTAGTTTAGATATGAATTGGGTCTATCTTCTCTAAGCAGTAATACAGACATAAATTGAAATGTTTGTGGAAGCCAGGCTAATCTTGTTGCATTTTCGTGCCTTTAATCACTGATAGAACGTGTTATTTCGATTAGTCCTCCGTCTCTAAATATTACAGATGTGCACAAAATGTATATTAGAGATGAAAGAAAGAAATGAAATATATTTAAATTATTACATTTTTTACTCTAGCCATAGACAAGACGGAGTAAATAATCTCGTAGTATAAACATTTAAGCAATAGTAATAATGCTTGCTTTATATAATATTTGTCCTTTATGACCTTTACGATTATGCAAATGATAGCTGTTTATGTTTTTCACTGCACGCATCTGAAGTCGATTTTGTATTAATTCATTTCCTTATATCTACGTGTATGCTTACCTCAGGCACAGGTGTATAATCATTTTGTGTATGATTTACATATGTCTTTGATCCACACTATATGTGTCAATGCACATTTATTATCAAAACTCATGTTCTGTCCAATAGTTTGATATGACGATGTCGTGAATGGTTTTCATTGACTTTTTTTGAAACTATTATGTGATAATATTAGAGAAAAGAAAAAAAAAGAATCTCAACCACAGCAAAAGACATTACAAGTCTACTTGCGCGATATGTTTTCAAGGTTTGGTTGAGATGTTCATATTTTGAATGGTTTTAATTTGTCATCTGGTACCGACAAATTTTGATATTATCTTCATGGTTATTTTAAACTAACGGTTATCTAAGACGACTAACTCGAGATGTGTCCAACGTTTCCTGAATATA